GGGGTTGTGGGCAAAGTCTCCGGGGAAAAAGGCGTCAGTGGGAACCTGCGCGGGAAGGAAGGTTCTGCGAGGGCCCAGGCCGGCGCAAGCCATTCCGAGCCGCGTGCGCCCCTGGCGGAGGCCGTGGGCCGGCGAGGGGGCAGCCGTGTGTCTTTAGAAAGACGTTTGGGAAGCTACGTGGACAGTGGGGGGATGGTGGCAAGTCAGAGGCTGGAGAAATGATTTCAGGGGCTCTGAGCAAATCAGGTGAGGTCAGGGTGGAGAAGCTTAAACCAAGGCAGGCAGGCAGGCTTCGAGATGGACCTCAGGGATTGCTGGCTCATTGTGGGGAGGGGGGGACCTCATTTGGGGTGGCAGATGGGGGACTGATGCTGCCCTTCCTGGAGGTGAGGAAGAGGGAGGTGCGTCCTGGTGGGGGGCAGATGGTGCTGCCCTTCATGAAAGGGTCCTGGAGACCTGCGGTGCTGCTGTCCCCAAGGCTGTCTATCCATAAGGCTGAGGAGGTGGGGCCCGGAGCAGTAGGACAGCCACACAGTCTTCACCACAGCCCAAGGACAGACACTGCTGGTGGCCCCTTTTTACAAAAGGTGAAACTGAGCCACACACTGAGGGAGCCTTGCCCAGGATCACAGAGCTAGAAAGTGACGGATCAGGCACCAGGGTCTGTGCTCTAACCCCCATGCTGGCTTGCCCCGAAGTGGCGGCGAGGCTGCTGTCAGCCTGAGGCCCCCAGAGAAATTGCAGAGGAGAGAAGCCAGGGAGAAGGGGCCAATCCTGGAGAAGGCCACAGCCATTGGAGGGGTTGGTGAGGGGAGCAGGGACAACCAGGAGAAGAGGCAGCCCGGCTGGTGTGACTGGCTGTGGTGTCAGGTGCTGGGGGTGTGACCTGGGCAGCAGGGTCCATGGGATAGAGGGGTGAAATCTGTTGGCCCTGAGATGAACAGGGGTGGATGTGAGGGCGAGTACTGGCCACTGCAGGTCACTGGGCCAGAAAGGAAGGGGAGAGATGAGGTGGTGGCTGGCAGGGCGTGTGGCCAGTGCCGGTGGGGCTGTTTTGGGGCTGAGGGCTCCAGTTTGCGACTTGGCTGAGGGGAGGCCTGTCTGTCTTCTGCAGGAGCAGGAAGATGTGCGCGGAGGAGCCATCCTCCTGTACGGAGATGTCATCTACAGCGGTGGCAGGAAGTATCAGCAGGCGCTCAAGAACCATGCCTTCCAGTCCCTGGTGCCGTTGCTCTTCCACCTGACTGACTCCTGTCCCGAAGTGGTCATGGTGAGTGGACAGCATCC